CACACACACACACACACACACACACACACACACACACACTATCCCTTTAAAGGAGATTTTCTGTTATGGTGAGGAAAATGAGACAATACTGCAGGTTTAATTTCAATTTCCATGCAGATGACATCAGAATTTCTTCATGTTTGAAGAATGAAATTAAATTCTTTAGTTTGGTAGATATACTTCAAGAAATTAATAAGAAAGACCCACAATACATTTTTTTACACAGGCTTGAACAACCTCTTAATGGAACCACCCTCTACACTGCGGTGAATTTACAAAAGAGCTATGAAAGACCTGACTTCACCCCGACTCATTCAGTGTTTCCCAAGCAGCTGCCAAGTGAAATTCACATTATGTTTTCTGTCAGTGACAGCTTCAAAGGAAACTTTGATGGAGTGCATTTTAACAAGGCACCCCTGCCATCACAAGTGTGACCAGACAGTTTGTTTAATCTCAGCATGGAAGAATCAGAAGCATATTATTTTATTACACTGGCCTATTTACAGTGCAGGTGGCCTGTCGATTGTGTTGATTTCAATTTACTTCACATTTTTGTGGATGTAACATCTAATATTGTAGGCAAATAAAACTGTAATGAACCTTCAACTGGCTTGAAACTGCATTTTAGAACTGACCTTTTTAAGAAGTCATTTGGGTTAAACCATGACTTCTATGTTTTAAAGATTATAGGTGATCAGAGAAGTGACAGCGCTCTAAGTCTTCTGACTAGTGTCATCACATCCTTGCATTTAGAGTTAACTTCCTCTATGCACATGCATCAAATGTAGGATGTTTTTCACCTTCCTCTTCTCTTCTGTCCTATATGAGCAGAAACATAGTTCCACCATCATGGGGAATCCCTTCAGTGCACATGCCTCTGCAGGAGGTATATAGAATCACAGAAACAAGCCTCATATATGGCACTGCAAAGCAATCCTTGGAGCACTTGGGTATAAGAATAAGGATACATCTCCCCCCCATGGAGAAGAAGGCTCAAATCCAGAGTCAGCAAAGTGGTTAACCTGCACATTAGAGTGTCATGAGCTAAAACTAAGCGGTACTGGAAGAACATCTATTCAACACATAGTAGCAGGATGTAAGATTGGAGCAGGTGAAGCATACCCTGAAAGGCACAACCAAGTGGCTTCAATAGTGTACAGTAACATCTGGGCAGCATATGGACTAAAAGTCACTAAGACCCAATGGGAGACACCACCAAAGTCCTGTGGACTTCAAATTCCAGACAGACAAGCAGCTGCTGGCCAATCAAGCAGACATAGCGGTGGTTGACAAGGAGCAGAATATGATAGATGTGACAATCTCAGTGCGCAGTAACATCACAAAGAAGGAGAACAAGAAAACAGAAAAGTACCAGGGGCTAAGAAAGCACTAGAGCAGATGTGGAAGGCAAAGTCTGTTAATTCCAAACTTATTAAGAAATAACAAACTTTGCATAATCACACACAGGATCACTTATCAACTCTACTGGCAGGTCCTGACTTAGCATGCTGCTATTAAACTGCTTATTTAAAAACAGCAAACTGTTGTATTACTAAAGGACTGCTTCACACTAAAACTGGCGCAGATGTTGGAGATTTTTATTTTGTACATTTAATACATGTATTACATTGATGCACATTTTACATGCATCAAATTATTTCTGTATTACAAAGAAGAACTGTTGCCATTTGATCCAAGCTATTTAAAGTTGTTAAGTTATTTTATTCATGTCCTTTAATCTCGAAGAAATGTGACTGATATACATTTGCGGTTGTTATACATTTGTAGAAGTACCTGTACAGAATGAGGACACATGCTTGAATGAGTGGTCCCTGGTCTTGCTCCCTGAATAAACTGATATTGACTTTGTCACCCTGCAAAGGGCCGTGGCGACAAATGATTTATTACTTGTGAAGCAATGAGCACATGAAACACTGAATCTCCTAACACATCTATGGCACAGAGTCTTTAAATCACTGGAACTCACTGCAGTCAATGGATGTGTGGACATGCGGTGCAGGCTGAGAGGAATTTGTATTGATGAGTTGCTATACTGCAGCTTGCCAACCACAGATAGCTCTGGTTATTGACTGCCACAATAGGCTTCCGACACATTGGAATAGTGATAACTCGGAACTATTGTCCAGCTTTCCGCAGGATAATAATCATTAAGAATATGAGCCTGCCTGAGCCTTTGTCTGTGGATAGTTGTAACTTGGTTTATAAATCTGGTTTATAATCTTGGGTAAAACATATAATCCTCTGTATAAAACTTTCCCTGTATAAGCAATTGTCAAATCTTTCTAAAACATTTAAATCTAATTTAATAACTTCTTCAGTTGTTGTCTTCAGAAAAGATGCGTTGCCATGAAAGATGGAATAATTCAACTTTATTTATATTGCGCCAAATCACAACAACAGTCGCCTCAAGGCTAGTTCTGATTCTACATGAGCGGCATGTGTTAATTACTGCCATACAAAATGTTGTTGTTTTAAATTTCCACTTGTAGTTGATTCAGTCACACAATGTTACTTCATCTTGCAGTCTTATATTACATTTTATGACATTTCCGATCCATGGATAATTAGGTCTCACTTGGAACTTGATGGCTCGCCTCATTTTACAACATTTGAAAAGGTTGAGAACTCATTGTGGACACTGTGAAACAAATCCCTGCAGAGTAATTAACGAATGAACTTTAAAGTCCTATTTTCTATATCATTTTGATTTCAGCAGATCTGTGAGCTTTACAAAGGAGAATTCATGGAGAATAAAGATTAGGATATAAAAAAAGCTAAGTGCTAGACAATGAAGTTGTGACACTTATTAGCAAATTTTCA